ATCCAGTCCAACCCCCTGCTCCAAAGCAGGATCATCCCTAAGTATCTCATTCCCAGCCAAGGCTTTGTCTAGCCAAGTCAAAACCTTCAAGGATAGAGATTCCATCACTTCTCTGGGTAACCTGTTCTAATGCTTTACTACCCTCCTTGTAAGAAAGTTTTTCCAAATATCTAACCTCAACTTTCCTTGCTGCAACTTGAGACCATTGCTTCTTGTTCTGTCATCTACCACCACTGAGAACAGTAGATTACTCGTCACAAATAAGACATAACATTAAAAACAAAATAGATTTCTGACTAGCACCTGCATGCCATAGCAGATTCCAAGAACAGGTTTGCCTATTGTAAAAATTGCTGGGTCAAACCATGGTGCATCCTCTGCATACACAGAATTTGGTCCTCCAGATATGATGATAGCCCTGCAAACAAGACAGATGTGAAAAAAAGATTATATTTAACAGTTTAGCTAAAAAGCATTTATTTGCATTAAATGTCAACTCAAAGTCTTACAAGACTTTCAGAGATTTGTATACTTCAACCATAAAATAAGGTGCACAAACTCTGACACACTGTGATGCACAAGAGAGAACACTTTCCAGGACAGAGAGCATATTGATTTGTTTAACTGAACCAAAAAAACAAGACAAAACAGAATGAAAACAAACAAACCCCAAACAGAAAACCCATAAAGCTATCCTAAAACAGGATTGTAATAACCGCATTCCCATTTCATAGCCAGGTGTTGAATTGTGAGTGGGGGGAGAAAAAAAAAAAGTATAGATCATGAATGCTTTAGCAGTAGTGTGAAAAGTATGAAGTAGTTCATACTTCATACTGTTTAGAAGTGCAAGTTCTAGCTCCTTCAACTGGTATAAACATGGGTTACTTGCTTTTACAGTTGCTCAGATAACGGCCATCAAATTAGGATGATAATAATGTGAGGGGGGAATAGACACTAAAACCGACAGAGTAAGCAAATTCAAATGATGTGATAAGGTCTGACATCATGTCAACATCTAGGGCTTGAAATTAATTCTTAATGCTAGCAGGAAACAGCATTCCATCTTCTCAAAACATAGTTAGAAGAGACTTCGTTTCCACACTGGTATATAGGATATTGATCTTCATAAATTTTCAGTTAGTCTAGTGATGGGCTTTTTTTGGTATTGCTCCAGGACTGAGCTTAAACTTACACCAAACCTTGGGTTGGTGTACTATTTATTCCATATAGAACAAAGTTTGAGGCATTATTGGGGCACAGGAGGAAGTGGGGTTAAACATATCAAGAAAAAACAAACATTTCTCAAACACTGTATATCAGGGGGTTTCAACCTTTTTGGTTCAGTGTATCCCCAGTGGCCGACTGAGGAGGAGTTTCCTAGTGGCCAGTTGACGGGACACACACACACGGTGTCCCCTGTGGCCGACTGGTGAGCATGCCAGTGTGGTGACAGAAGTGTTGGTGGCACGGCAGAGACACCCGTTGCCTACTACCCGCCCCCCCACCAGGCCATCCCAAATACCCCAAGGGGTACATGTACTCCCATTTGAACCCCCCTGCTGTATAGATACCTGGCAGCCAAGGATTTCAAAAGCAACCTCAACTTCTTTACTGGTGCAGATGGACAACAGAATATACATTGGCAGTAGGGGTGCACCAATAAAGATTTTTGGGGCCGATACCGATCGCTAATTATTGACT